TAACTGCACTTTAATGCTTTAACTTGGTAAACACCATTATGTTTTTGAAAAATTATATCTAAGACAGAAAAGTAAAAAGCTGCTTTGACAATATGTAACCACCAGTGTGAAGAAGAGAGTGTAATCAAGCCATATGCATAACCAACTCAGTTAAACATCTGACAGGTGATGTGAACTGGTTTAATTTGGGTAATTAATGGTTCAGCAGTTCAGTGCATTTCTTTTGAATTTAACTGTTGAAAATAACCGCAGCTATGGAGGGCAATGACCAAGGTTTGAAAGGAAGGGGTTGTCCCTACTTAGTGACACTTGCCAATTGGAGCAGAGGCATTAACTAACATTTACTGGTTGTCATCTCTTCTCCCATCACAAAGTGGAAAACAATTAGTTTTGAGGCAAAGCAAGAAAGCCTCATGTTGCATTTGCTGCAGACTGGGGAAGCATTGAGTGTGTCTTGCATTCCTGTTATCTTGATAGGGTGAGGAGCTTGTGCTTATGCTAGGGTAAGCAAGAAATGCTGACCAGTCTGCTGTGAGGACAGAACATGGAAACATGAAAACTGGAGTCAAAAGAAACTAAAATAGATTTGGAATTTAGAGCTAGTTTGATGAAGTGATGGACCAGGAGTGGGAAGGTTTAGTTCTACTTAATCATGGAAGCCAATGAGAGTCTCTGGGCCAATCACCTCTCTCAGCCCTAGGAAAGAGGCAAGGCCAACCAATTTCAAAAATGTTGAGAACCACATGAATTTGTCTATATATTCACAAGAAATCAAGACTGATCTGAAGGGGCAAGCGGTGGTGATGGGGGGGGGGAGAGCTTTGGGATTATTGCACAAATAGCAGCAGAAATGCCCTTGACTTGGTATGTTATTCCACTTCTACTAGCCTGTGGCTGAACTGGCAGACAAAAGAAGTGTTGTTAACTATCTGAAGGATTACAATATGAATTCAGTTATTATATGCCACTCCCATAGCAGTTAGAAGCTTTGCAGTTTTATTGATCCTATTAAAAGAGAAAAGCTGAAGCTGGGAGGCCCATGTAACTGGCAAGTCATTAAGTGTGTGCCTCTTCAGATGAAGGAAACAGGTGAATCCAGAGAGTTAATTCTGCATTAATTCATTTCATAAGAATAATTTTATCTCTTCCAAAGCAGTGGAAACCTGGTTCATCAGTCAAAAATGAGACTTTTTTTCATCCATCTACACTAGAGACTTGTTTATTACTATTAGCTCTAGCAGAGATCATCTATTGCAGTGGTTCTCAACCTGTGGGTCGGGACACCATTTGGGGTTGAACGACCATTTCACGGGGGTCCCCAAACAACGCAGTCCACCATTTTTTTCCCCTTTTCCTTAGCTGTGCTACTCCCTTTTATTCTATTGGCTTTTGAAAGCCAATAGAATAGACTCTCTTGAATAGAGTTTAATTCTATTGGCTTTCAAAAGCCAATAGGAATTGTCCAGGGTGTCTCTGCCCTGCTGAGCCTGCCAAAAGTCCCATTCTGCAAATGGTGCTGCACCAGTTAAGTAGTCCTCGACTTACGACTGGTTGAGTAGCCTCGACTTACGACCGGTTGGGGGTCGCGGCATTAAAAAGGTTGAGAACCACTGATCTATCAGAATGGGGCTTAGTGGTTGGCTGTGTGAAATTGAAAGTCCATGGAGCAGAACCCCTCTACATACACACCCTGCATTAGAATTCAGTCATCCCATTTTGAGGTTAATGTTATTATTTCCTACTCTCCTACCAATTAATGGTGCTGGTATAAATCTTTACTCTGGGAAGGTGGAGGAGTACTAAAGGTCAGTTGGCAAGAGAACCTTCAACAATATGTCTATGAGAAATGACAGGTTTTGCAAACATGTCCTTTCATTTCCTGAGGCTTTAATTCATCACTACCAAGTATTGCAAATAACTATCTAGATATGGATATCAGTGGGAAAACCAATGTGTTATAATGCAAATTCTGTTCCTTTTGACAGGGTATTGCAACACTGCATGCAAGTATGAAAGTGCTGGAGTTTGCATAACATTAAGTTGAACCTTTTGTCCTTTTGATGAAACATCCAGATTCAGTACATGTTTCTGTGGCTAGGTAATTAATATGATTAATAATGTAAACAATGGATGGTTTGCTAACAGTGGATAGTTTGCTAATTACCATCTGTGATCCATCTTTCTTTTATCTGAAAGAAATAAGTATTGCAAAGCATTTCATGATTCAACAGGCAAAGAATTTTGGATATAACATAATGTTTGAACAATGGGAAAACATGTGGACAAAAGGTTTAAAATTTATATTAAATTATAATCTAAAATAAAATTTTTATAAAATGATGTACCGTTAAAATCTAACACTGGACAAATTGTCAAGAATGTATAAAGAAACTTAAAAGGAATATTGGAAATGTAATGGTAAAGAAGAAACTTTACCATTTATGGTGGACATGTACAAAGCAAAGAAATATTGGAGTAGGATTCACATCTTAATACAGAAGATTCTTAAAGTGAATATAAAGCTAAAACCACAGATTTCTCTTTTAGGCTTAATGGATAAATAACTTGAAAAAAATTGGAACTTTGATGTTATATATGTTGACATCAGTAAGAATACTTTATGCACAGAAATGGAAGAATACTTTGGTTCCCACAATGGACGAATGGTTGCAAAACCTGATGGAGTTAGCAGAGATGGCTAACTTGACTGCTTTGATTAAAGAAAGGAATACAAGTTAAAACAAGGAAAAAACACCAGAAGCTTAAGAAGAAGAGCAGAGACCCTGTAGGCTTGGAACAGAATCCAAATACAGGTAGTCCTTGAGTTATGGCAGTTCACCTAGTGACTGTTCAAAGTTATGACCCCCCCCCAAAGTACTTATGACACAGTCCCAAAGTTACGAATGTTACAGCAATACGGCAGTTGTTCACCCTTACAACTAACTGCAGAGACACTGCAACATTCCCCTGCCGATTCCTCCCCCTACAGCAGCGGTTCTCAACCTGTGGGTTGGGACCCCATTTGGGGTCGAACGACCATTTCACGGGGGTCGCCAAATAACGCAGTCCACCATTTTTTCCCCTTTTCCTTAGCTGTGCTACTCCCTTTTATTCTATTGGCTTTCAAAAGCCAATAGGAATTGTCCAGGCTGTCTCTGCCCTGCTGAGCCTGCCAAAAGTCCCAGTCTGCAAACGGTGCTCCAAGTTGTCTGCAGCGAAGGCGAGCTGTCTGGAAGTTTCCACCCCTCCCTGCTGAGCAACTACTAAAAATGTAAGTAAAAGAGGGCCAGGGGTGGGAGGTGGGAGGCCAGCAGGTGCAGGGAGGGTTGCTGGCACGTGTGGGGCCCAGCGGGTGCCTTACCTCTCTTGGGCTGGGCCAGCTGGTGGCCCAGCCAGTGGTTGCCCTGCGTCATCGCTGCCCTTTGCCAGCTTCGCCTCGGCCGGCACAGGGGGCGGCACCACACATGCGTGGCGCTCCCGGGCAGGGAAAGTCCTCGACTTACGATCGGTTGGGGGTCACGGCATTAAAAAGGTTGAGAACCACTGCCCTACAGGGACCTGATAGACACTGGTCCTTGCTTACTTACCTTTCAAAGATCCAGGGTTCCAGAACAGGCTGACCGCTCCTTCTCTCTCCTCAGGCAAGCTGTCTCCTCTCCAGCCTCTCTGCCATGGGGGTTAGTGCAGCAGTGCAGATTCTTTGCTTGCTTCAGGAGCTCCAAAAGTGGAGCAGTGTGAGCAGAGGCAGAGAGGATGAGCGCACCCTGCTCAGCTTGGTTGACTCACCGAGGCTATTTACGCAGGACACCTGATCATCTTTTGGAGTGCTGGGAAGCCTCTGTGAGTCTGAAGGAGTGTGAGATCGTGCCCCCAAAGACTTCTGTTCTCCACGTCTGAAGCTTTTGTAAAGGGACAGAAGGTTTTGGGGCAGCGATCGCGCATTGCTTGAAGCCTTCTGTCCCTTTGAAAAAATGTTTTGGTGTGGAGAACAGAGGTCCGAGGGAGCACAATCTCCTGAAGGACCAGACAAAGAAACCACAGCAGAGAGGCTGGATAGGAGACAGCTCACTTGATCAAGATCTTTGAAAGGTAAATGAATCTCCACAGGCCCAGTGCCTGTAGAGACCCAGTGGGGCAGGATCGGGGGGGGGGGGGAAGGGAAGCATGAGATATCTCAGTGAGGCCTTGGATAGTTGAAAGCATTAGCCCCCCCCCATGGTCTTCCCCACCCTGAGGTACCTCATGTGCACTTCAGGAGCTGCACATTCGACTAGTAAATGCATGGGGTAAAGCAGGGAGGGATCAGTTAAGGAATCCTCAAGATACGAATGTAATTGGCAGGCTCTATTACATCCATATCTTGAGATTACTTATACTAGTTCTTAGCTGCATCATCAGATAATGCAAAATCACAAAGTAGCATTGCATGCTTTAGCAGAAAAGAAACTGTTTTGTTACAAAATGTACACCAGGAATTACACTTTATACAATAAATTCTAATTGGTAAAGCACACTTATAAAACAACCCATGTTTTAATCTCTAGTTAAACAATTTATTAGAGTCCTTTTAAAATTACAATTCCTAGACTGCATATAATTTCAAGCCAGAAATCTGCTATAATAAAACTAAAATTTATTCTACTGCTTCCTTTTGTGGGAAAAAGAGATGGGCATCCTTAATACAGACATTTTATAAGCCTCTGTCATGTATACAGCTACTTCTTTGTGTAGGGAAACATTTACATTTTGGAATAGCCTCCCAGCTGAAACTGAGGGATCCCTATCCTTTTGGGCTTCTGGAAGGCAAAGAATGTTTGACTCTTTCCCCATATGTTGGGCTCAGATGAGGATTGAGTCAAGAGTCTGATTGGTCTGGTGCCTGGTGGGAAGGTTGATGTAGTTTTTATTCTTGTTTTTATCAGTTGTTGTGAGCTATCTAGGTTCATTGTACAGTATTACTTTGGCAGTCAAATAAGTTCTTTACATAAATAAATACCAACCTGGTGTTCTTCAGAGGTGTTAGACTAAAGTTCCGAGTGTTCTGAGCCATATTACCTGGAAATTCCATGTGCTGAAGTATTTGAATTCATCTGGAGGGCAACAGGTCAAGGAACACTAGCTTAAAGTTACATGTGAGGACTTTCTGTGGCAGACTTCCTGTTCCAAAATGAAAGATGAGAGGGATTTCATCTGGATGGCCTGGAAAATTTACTAAATGGGGCATAATAACCATATCACAAAGATCCCTATAGAATTCACACTTCAACAAGACATGCCCAGGGATGCTTTTCAGAGCAGTTATAGTAAACCTATGTTCTAGCAAAGCAGATGGGGGAACTATTTAGTTTGAGAGAAGGTTCAATAATCATTAGACAATTTGGCAAATTATTATGTTTTTTGACTACAGGCTTAGATTCAGGGCATATTCTCACTGCACCCTTAAGCTGCTAATGTCCTTTGCTCATGACAGCTCAACTGTGAGGTGGCTTAAAAAATCTTGTATGGACTGAAATACTTTGCGACCAGACAGAATCTCCAGGAACTTATTTATTTTGTTATGCATAACTCTCTAGTTAAGAAGCATCCTAGCCCATGGACAGCAAACAATTTGAGAGAGGCCATACGTCATTGGTTCATCCAGTAGGGTCTGCTTCCAGATCAAATTAAATTTAGCAAGAATATTGAGGAAGCTATTGCAATCTCCACTATAGTTAGACCAACCTCCAGTGGCAAGGCAGCTTTAGAGATATACTCCAGAATCTGAAATACTATTTTCAGGAACTAAGGTATTGCTGTTTCTGAAAACATAGTTGGGGTATGGTTTTGAGCTCCATATAAAACTGAGCCTATGACTCAGGTTCTAATAGTTTGATGGAAGTGGACACAAAACTTTCCTTTGACAATAAAATACAAGCAGCACTTGTACAATAAAATACAAGAAGACAATAAAATACAAGCAGCACTTCTCTCTCAAAGTATGATTAAGAGTGCATCTCAGATTCAGCTGAATCCCAAACAGTTATGGATGACTTTGAATTGATTTGGTGTTAGCATGAATCAAAGTGAGATTCTTTGAACAAGATTAACTATCAGTTTTCCTGAAACTGCAGTAGTGGTTCATTGAATTTATGTAAACAAAGGTGAAGGAAAGGAGATTTCTAGATATATAGACAGAACTATTGTAGGTTAGTTCACTTTTTTATTAGTTTTGTTTGTTAAATGTTTGCCTGAGTCTGTGAGGATCTGTAATAATAATAATAATAATAATAATAATAATAATAATAATAATACCCCCAGTGAGGCACTACGTTGACATGGTTGTGGGGCTTGTGTACTCTGAGGAAGATGAGAGCTATGCCAGAGGTTCAACCATACTGGACAGGTCTCATCAGAGGAGTCAGACAAAGAGTATCTCTCCCATAAAAAATATGGTGAGACGTAAATTGCAGAATGCCATACCGGCTCGGACGTCGCCTGGGTTAACAAGGTCCGCGCTAGATATTGGAGTTCCTGGATATCTGGTGAAAAATGGGTTACAGGACTCAGGACTGTTGGCTGAGCAACCAGGGCCAGCAGCTGCAGAACTACTGGAAGAAAAGGTGTTTACCCGTCGCAGATACACAGTGATGGAAAACAAAGAAATAATGATCTGTTACTACAGATCAAGTCCAACAAGAAGAGGATATCTAAAACGAATGCACCAGTTCTGGAAAGAACAACATCCAGAATCAGAAATAACAGAACAGAGACTAGCAGATCAACGCCGATTTATAACACGAAATAAAGTATTCACAGAAACAGAATTGGACGAACTACAAAGGTTTACCCAGGGCAAAGAAATCAAAGCCTTACCAGAAGTAATTCAGAATGTAGAGGCAAACCAGGGGGAGTTGGCAGTGAAGGAATCCAGCAGAGATATACAACTGTTCTCATTTGGAAACCAGGCACCTCTTCCTCAGGAAGAACAAAACCCTCTAACTAAAGAAATAAAAGAATTGAAACAAAGAATAACTGAGCATCTAGAACAGCACAAAAACAACAGAATAAGGCTACCTGCATTGAAGCTTGTTCAAAGAAACAGCTAGCACAAGCATTAAAAGATGCAAATACTGCAATATCAAGTATAAGCACCAATTCACTGCAAGAAACAAACCAACTAATGTACAGCACAGCTGCAGTTATAACAGAATACCTGGGATGCAAAATCAACAAAAAAGAAAAACAAACAAACAGTGCACCAGAAAAATGGAAGGTTAGACTAGAAAATAAGATCAGCAAGTTAAGATCACATGCAAGCAAGCTAGAACAGATGGAAAGAAAAGAAGCTGAAGAACAAGAAGACCAAAGAATACCTAATCAAGAAATACCACTTAGAAACAAGGAAGATCAAGGAAGCACTGGAAATAATAAAGCAACAAATAACAGCTATAGCCAGGAAAATCAGTAGATATGAAGCTCGAATTGCAAACTATAGGCAGAACCTCCAATTTCAATCCAATCAGAAACGTTTCTACCAATCCATCAATGGAGAAACTGCAAGGAATCAGTCAGTACCTGACAAGGAAGAAACAGTGCAGTTCTGGAAGCAGATATGGGATAACCCAAAGAAATACAACAAGGATGCAGCTTGGTTAAAAGAGGTGGATGCAAATAAAACAGAAGTTGAAATGAAAGAACTAGTAATAACAACAAAAATGGTAGGAAAAAAGAGCAAAGAAAATCAAAAATTGGTCAGCACCAGGTGAAGATGAACTGCATGGGTTTTGGTTGAAACATCTAACTGTTATACACCCACTCATTGCCAAGCAGTTCAACAATATACTACAAGGAGGAGAAATTGAAAAGTGGCTAACAACTGGGAAAACCTACCTAATAATGAAAAATCCAGCAAAAGGGGCAACACCAGGTAACTACAGGCCAATTACCTGCTTACCAGCAACTTTCAAATTACTAACTGGTGTGGTAGCTGATGCAGTACAACAGCATCTAGTTGAAAACAATCTCTTTCCACCTGAGCAGAAAGGAAACCGCCCCAATAGCAGAGGAACAAAAGATCAACTCCTAATAGACAAAATGATCTTGGAAAACTGCAAGAGAAGGAAGACCAACCTGAATGTGGCATGGATTGACTACAAAAAGGCATTTGACTCTCTGCCACATGATTGGATAATCAAGTGCCTAGAAATAACAGGAGTAAAGTAGAAACATCAGAAAATTTGTGCAAAAATCGATGGCACAATGGAAGACACAGTTGCAGATCAATGGTGAGAGCTGGGAGAGGTTAATATCAAGAGAGGAATATTTCAAGGAGATTCATTATCACCATTACTATTTGTTATTGCACTGTTTCCTCTGTCAACAATACTGAATAACTCAGGACATGGCTATCAAACATCAAAAACATCTGCCAGACTATCCCACCTCCTTTATATGGATGATCTGAAGCTGTATGGAAAAACATCATCTGAAATAGAATCGCTGCTCAACACTGTCCGTATATATAGCCAAGATATTGTAATGGAGTTTGGCTTGGACAAATGTGCCACACTTACTATCAAACAAGGAAAAATAGTGAAAACTGAAGGAATCAAGATGCCCCACGAAAATAACATTAAGAGTCTGGATGAGGAAGAATACTACAAATACTTGGGTATCCTTCAAGCTGACAACATCAAGCACACTGAAGTCAAGAAAAAGATTAGAGGTGAATACATCAAGAGAGTGAAGAAGATCTTAAAGTCCAAACTCAATGGAGGAAATACCATAAAGGCAATCAAAACCTGGGAAATCCCAGTCATTAGGTACACAGCTGGAATAGTGGACTGGACTCAAGCAGATTAGTCAATTGCAAAAGGCGGCCTTATTAGGAACTGCTTCCATCCTGCGAGGATACCTGTAATACCATCAAACATCCACATCTGCCTAACCCAGGTCTTGGGTAAGGACTCGATAGGTAGACAAAATGCCAAATCCAGTCTGAACATCTGGCTGACTGTGCGATGATTGATAATAATAATAATAATAATAATAATAATAATAATAATAATAATAATAATAATAATAATAATAATGTTGGAAGGGATCTTGGAGGTCATCGAGTCCAACCCCCTGCTCAGGCAGGAAACCCTACACCATTTCGGACAAATGGCTGTCCAGACATGTAGCATGGCTACTTAGCTAAAAATACTGGATGTACAAATTCTACTTTCTATGCCAAAGTATGCTTCACATCTGTTTTCCAATACAATTCCATTGTAATTCTATGAAGAAATAAATTAGGAAAACAGTCTTACTCTCCTTTTCATTACTCATCAGTCTGTAACCTCTTTGCCTTTTTTTTTAAAAAAAACATATAAGTTTCTTACTTATGATGTGGATCATTTGACAAAGGACTCCCTTCACAAAGCAACCACTTTGCTAAGCTTTGAAATAACAGAATAGAATAACAGAATAACAGAGTTAGAAGGGAACTTGGAGGTCTCCTAGTCCAACCTCTGCACAAGCAGGGGATCATCTACCATTTTGGACATTCTGTCCAACCTTTTCTTAAAAACCTCCAGTGATGGAGTATCCACAATGTTGTGGGCAGCAACAATGATATTGGCAGCAGCAAAAGTGTCCTTTTCAGTGGAAGACTGCAAAATACAGCTGCAACATTGCTGACCTCTCTTTATGACAACATAAAGAGAATATTTTCTGTTAATTCTGATTTTATTCCCTATTCCTCATTCCCAATGCTTTATTCCACATTTGAAAACCATTAAGGGATAGAGTAAATATGTACCATGAAAATGTTTTATATTATTTCATAAATATCAATTCTAAATACTAAAAGCTTCTCCATTCACTTTAAAGGAACTGATTTTCCAGACTCTTCTTGCAACATTCATGAATCATTAAAGAACAGGAAAGCTGGCCCTTCAAATTATGTTCTAGGTCAAAGGGAGTTGGCCCTGAGACTTTACTGCTGTCACATTGCCAACAACTACGCAACTTATGTTTGGGGTATCTAGAGACTTATATGTAGGCAATTTAGACCTTAACTTGGTTTGTGTGTGTGTTTATATGTGGGAGGTTCAAAAATGACTAACAATTGGGCAACCTGTTTAGAATTTTAAAATATTTGAAACCCTACTCTACTCAAAGATTCTCAATGGCCCTACAACATTAGGCAAAATCCTTTTATCATCCTAGTTCTGCTCGAAAATTTGTTGTTCCTCTTGATTTTACTAATAAGATGTAGGAACCAGGAATGGATTCTTGTGGACAAGACTGTGAAAGCCTTTCATTGTGATAATTCAACAAATTCCTATGTTTTCAGAATCATTCAGACTATTTCATAGATGTTTAAGAAAGGTTATCTAATGAAGTAAGTAACTATCTTGTATTAAGAGTAGTAGATATGGAACTCATGCAACATACTCTTTTACATAAAACAGATCTGTAATTCTAGTGTTTACCATTATATTTTGAAAATCCTTTTTATTTTCCCTGCAAATGAAAGAAATTCAACATTCAGTGCACTTTGGGTCCCATCAATTAAGAAATAACATCTAGCAGGATCCAGGAAACGTGTTTTCTCTGTCATAGGACTTTTCCTTTGGAATTATATCCTCCCAGAGATCCACATGGCTCCTATCCTGATGGCATTCGGGAAGCTATTGAAGACCTGTTCTAGGTCTTGGGAAGGTTGATAATTGAGCCTTTGTTGATTTTTCAATTTGTTTTGTTTATATATCTGTTTGTGGGTATCTCATGAATTATTTTTATTTTATAGTTTTGTTCTTTTTAATTGTAAGTCAGTAGCCTCCATATCGATTAAATAAATAACTAGTTTTTAGTTCAAATTTGGTAATTCTACCAGTGTTTGGGTCTCAACCTAATATGATAAGAGGTGAACATCAGATTCAGCTAAATTACTAATCATTCTGGTTGAGCTTGGATAGATTAGCTTGTAGCCTGAAACAATGAGGTTCTTTTGAAAACACAAATACTATGAGTCTTTCTGAAGTTACATTAATGATTTGGGACACTATAGGAGAAGTTCTCTATATATATTACAGGACTATTCTAAAGTTAGTTTGCTTTTTATTCAATATGACTGTGAAGAGTAGAATTGTTTTTTAAAAGTGGTCCTTTAGTTGTAGAGTTCTGTGAAAGTATAGAACTGATTGTTTAAGCTGGGAAATGGGAATATTTAAATCCTTTCTTTTTCTGCCAATGTTTGTTCCTCATCTGAATTCTACTCCTATATAAAAAAATAGAGAACACAGTCCTACACTGCTTTCCATTAAAAATAATAAAGGTGCCGGAACTCACACACGTCATACAACCCGCTTTGCCTACCCTACAAGGTTCCATCCAAAAAAGGTGCTGGAACTCCGTTCTGGGTGTTCTATGACAAAAAAAGCCCTGATTAATCATAATATCTATTCTTTAGAAAACATGCACCTTTATTTCTTAAAGTCAGTGGTGGGATTCAGCCAGTTCGCACCATTTTGGCAGAACTGGTAGCTAATTTTTTTGTTGCCCAGGCCCAGAATGGACTTCTGGAAGCGGCATCCACACAGAGAACCAGTTGTTCACATATTTGAATCCCACCATTGCTTAAAGTGTATGTCATTTCCAAAGTAACTTCTTTTATTTGCTAACACTCTGAAATTATACAAGTATCCTAGCTTGGACCAACTTTCTATGCAGTGTGTCATTTTCATAATAATCAATCCTCCTCTGTTCAAATAAAGAGGTTTTTATTTGAGACCCCCTCCACCCTTCCCATATAAATACTTGGTTAGTACCATGTACCAAGGTTAGTACCCTAACCCTAACCCTAACCCATTAATCTGAACCTTGATTGCTTAACATAAGTCAATTCTATGAAAAAAATAAAAGTTGTCAGTATTTGTTTTAAAGTAAAAGAATTTGAAATGCCTACAATAAATAAAATCTCACTATTTTAAATTATTCATAAGACTACTTGACTTACAGTTGCTGTCCATGTTTGAACTAGGCTGCTGATTTCAACTGAATTCAGATCTGTCAAATGAAACAGCCGACAAAATAATGTGAGTTAAAGCAGGATGCTATTCAAATTGAACAAATTCATGGAGTCTTTGCTCAGCCATACTATAAATGTTTATTCATTTTAAAACATTCCACAAAATAACAGAATAACAGAGTTGAAAGGGACCTTAGAGGTCTTCTAGTCCAACCCCCTGCTCAAGCAGGAAACCCTATACCATTCCAGATAAATGGCTGTCCAGTATCTTCTTAAAAGTCTTTAGTGATGGAGCACCCACAAGTTCTGGAGGCAATTTGTTCCACTAATTAATTTTTCTCACTGTCAAGAGTTCTAAGTTAGTTGTCTCCTTGATTAGTTTCCATCCATTGATTCTTTTTCTGCCTTCATATGCTTTGTGGAATAGCTTGACCCCCTCCACTTTGTGGCAGTCCCTTAGATTTTAGAATATTGCTATCTTGTCACCCCCAGTCCTTCTTTTCATTAAACTAGACATACCTAATTCCTGCAACCATTCTTCATATGTTTTAGTCTCAAAATATTTTAAAAGAACTTGTTCAAATGTTATTTCCATTTAATAAGTCTTATTTTATATTTATGTGTATATTTCTGTACACTTGCATATTAGAAAATAAAAAAGGAAGCTTACACTTTTTAAAAAGTGTTATCTGTCAAATGTAGTACTTCTTATTTTTGTCTTATCTTTGAAAACATACGGTTGTGGATACAATGTGTAGCTTTAACACTATTGAAAGACTTTTTGGCCTTTGCACTTAGACACAAATTGATGCATTAATTTAATTTGTTGTATATTTTAAACAAGAAAGTATGAAAAAGTAGTCAAACATGATATGATATTAGAACAATACAAGTAGGAGTCATTTGGTTTCTTTGATCATTTCCTTGCATTATATAGATATAAATTTTTCTATTCTGGGAAAGTTTTGAAGGAATGGATATAAATCTTAAAGACGAATAAGAGAAAGTTTTCTAAGCAGGAACCATAAGTAAAGATAAGTACCTCCTTCAGTAGGCTTGACTTTAACGAGCAGGAGGTTATGCTATGTCATTATGATGCAACACAGCTTAAAGCAAACAGCAAGTTGTTGGAGTTGTCCTTATCATTCTTTGCCAAACTCCTGCAAGGATGCCCAGTTCAAATTCTTTCTCCACCAATATGCGGATCAGATTCCCTGTTCTTGCCATTTTTTTACAAGTGATCATTATCATTTTATTTGGAATATTTGTGAGATATCAGCCAACAGACAGATGGAGCCAGCCATCAACTAATATGGGCTTATATCCAAGTAAGTGATGCCATTGGTTAATAAACTATAGCAATCTGGTGAAAGTTAGCTGCTTTGGGGGTTGTTCTAACACCGTGCATAACTTAATTGGGAGATTCTTGCATTCTCATTTACTGTGTACTTTGTATATCATATACTGGAGGCACAGGTCTCATTCAAATGATAAATTTTCCTTCTGAAACAAGCACACCATTCTGAATAAGCGGCATAGTGCAAAAAAAATGCTTAATGCAAATATGAAATACTCTAATGGGGAAAATTTGGGGACAGATGTGACAGGTCTGCTAATTTTGTTAACTAACTAGCCATTTGATATATTCTTTCTGAATATGTCTTAATTTCCCATTTCTAGGAAGTTCACAGAGTTTTATGAATGGGTATGTCTTTGAATTTCTCTGGCATTTCATAAACTGCCTTGGATTCTTATCTTCTACCTACTCAGAGACATCTGCTGACTTGCAGATTAAAACAGCAATGATATCTTACCATGGAGTAAGTGTCCCATGGGTTTCTGGCACACTGGAACAGGGGAATTCTTTATTTCTGAAACTGTAAGATCCACAAATGAATTATGACAAATTATATTGAAGGAGCTTCATGCTACTCTAGTCTGACACCATTTCTGTGCATTTATGTATGCCATTAGACATTAAATATGGTAGGATAAATATTTACCTACATTTTACTATTTTGGACTAATGTTCTAGGATGCTTTGCATATGTTTATAAGATATTACTACTCAGATTTATTATTGTTGTTGTCTTTGTGAATGGGGATTCATCTTGTGAAGAAAGGCAAGCCTACTTATTGTTAGTATAATTCTCTTTTGAATGGAAGGAATAGCACTTAAGCCATGTGTAGGCAAATTGCCCTTTGAGTCAAGCCATATGGCTATGAATAGTTTGCAACTGTCTTCTTCTAAGACTATTTTCAGTTTCCTAGTCTTGCCCATAGTCTTAGGTTGTCCTAGTTATTTCCCATTCAAATATGAAGAAAGTCTGACTCTGCTTAATTTTTCAGGTCTTTGTGCCTAAGGCAAGACTAGAACTCATGGTCTCCTGGTTTTTAACCTGAGATGCCTTGAATCAGTACCCCAAACTGGCTCCCAAATGTATACCTCCCAAATTCACCAATTTTTAAATTGTTGTTTCAAAAGTGCTTCTCATGGAAGGTTTATTCTTGCATTAATACATGCATGACTCTTCCAAGAACCAAATGACCTCAGATCCAGACATATTTTGTTGAATGTCATAATTGTTGCTTAAGTCTTTAATCTACAAACAGTCCTGTAATTTCCTGAAATATTGTTACACATATATAACATAATCAGATAAAGTTTTCTGATAAAGAAAACTCTCCATATGTTTTTGGTATTGAGGTGTATTCTGCTTCCATTCATGTTTTTTTTAAATTGAAGCCCCTGCATCTATCCCCCTCTCTTTCTCTTTAAATATAATAAATGTTGATTCCTTTTCTATGGTGTCTATACTATATACAGTAGCCTCTCTTTTTTGTATATGTATCTGTCAGGCATAAACTATTATCTAAATATTTTGCAATGCTGATAATGATGATGACCAATTACCATTGTATGAAATTGCATACATTAGTGAGAATTTGGTATGAGCCTACAAGTGTTACAAATATGCAGTGAGGCACTGGAAGAAATGAGAAATGGAGAACACCTACCTGCCTTGAAAAAATATTAGGCCTCAAATTGTTAAACATCATGGTTAAAAAAAGGATTTTTTTTTTTAAAAAATGAAAGTGTCCAGTACTTTAAAACAAATTTTCTTCATTCAAATCTTTTAGCTGGATTTTCAACATATTTTCTTGAAAGGAAGTCCTACTGGTTTTATTTTCTTATTATCCCTCATCCCTCTCTTCAATTAGTTGCAAAAACAAATGTGATACAGCGGCTGCAATGAAATTCATGCAAGGCTAGAAAGGACAAAGTTAAGTTAAACAGTTAAATGAAGAGTGGAGGAAATGTTCCCCTCAAAGACAATAGGTAAAAGTGGAGAAGTAGATGATATTAGCTGATTTTGGAAGGTATTGCGTTGACTTGACTGGGGAAAGAAGAGGTGGATGAGTTGAGGATTTGATATTGCCCTGGACTTATTGCTGCACAGCTTCATTCCTGCCTGAGCTGCTGAACCTCATCATAGGACTGGCATTGAAGTGCCCATTGTTCTGTTTCAGAAGAAGAGGCATCGAGACGAAGCAACAAGTTCCAACAGTTCTCCTTTATTGCAAACACCAACAGAACCAATTTTAAAATGGTGCAGCCCCCTTTTATAGCCCCCCTGCACAATACCTTGCTGGCCAATCATTTCAAAGGATCTTTTCCTGCCGTGTGCTTGCGCGCAAGGCTGGGAGCAGCCTTTCTGGTCCTGGGCATCCATATGGTCTGCTCGGGCCAATCGTTGCAGCCAGCACCTGCCAACCCTATTGATTTTGAGAGACATCTTGTGGGTGAATTCAGATGTGGCTTGTGAGTTCATGGCCACCGTGAACTTACAAACCTTGTCTTTGGGGATCATGGGCCAGTGGTGGGATTCAGCCAGTTTGCACCACTTCGGCAGAACTGGTAGCTAATTTTTTTGTTGTCCAGGCCCAAAATGGACTTCCGGAAGTGGCATTCACACAGAGAACCAGTTGTTCACATATTTGAATCCCACCACTATCATGGGCTCAGTTAATGATGGGATCAACATATTTCAAAGTAACTGAAATGTGACAGGAGACATATTCCTCAGTCCCTTGTCATAATCAGATCACTCTCTGGTTCACCTATCAGCCAATGCCAATGACCTCTATAAGAAGAATAGATCCATTTGATTGGTCCACCCCAGGTGCCTAGTGGATTCTCTAGCTTTCAAAGATTATTTGGGGATTATTTCAAGTTCTGCTCATTGTGCCAAGGAAACTCATTGGTTTACCAAAGAGATTTATCATATGAAACTGCAGAAGAGATTATAAAGCTGCAAACTAAGTGATATTGTTGAAGATAAATGTGACTGAACATGGGAAAGAGCTCAAATTTTAGTCTACATTATAGCAAGAATAGCAGTGGAGTGAGGTTCCTTTCCCCTTATTGTGTTTAGTAAAGCTGATTTGGCAAAAAAAAAAAAAAAAAAAAAAAATCAGGCCAAAAATTGGCTGCTGGGCCGCTGCAATAAATTCATACAAAATCAAAACGATGAAAGTGCTTATATTCATTTAGAGTTGGTAGTTACCTGCAGTAGAGTTGGAATAGGCCCTATTTAGTGAGCTTATCTGGAATTATATAATAATAATAATAGTAGTAAAGTTGGAAGGGACCTTGGAGGTCATCTAGTCCAACCCCCTCCTCAGGCAGGAAACCCTACACCATTTTGGACAAATGGCTGTTCAGTCTCTTCTTAAAATCTTCCAGTGTTGGAGCATTTACTGCTTCTGGAGGCAGGCTGTTCCACTGATTAATTGTTCTCACTGTCAGGAAGTTTCTCCTTAGTTCTAGGTTGCTTCTCTCCTTGATTAGTTTCCACCCATTGCTTCTTGTCCTGCCTTCAGGTGCTTTGGAAAATAGCTTGATTCCCTCTTCTTTATGGCAGCCCCTGAGATGTGCTTTGATCCTATGGTTCCTGAAGAGAGTTCAGTATCCTGGTTGATATGCCACGTCTAAATTAAATTAAATTAAATTAAATTAAATTAAATTTAAATTAAATTAAACCTGGTTAGTGAAAACCTCCAAAAATTTACTTGAAGCTGAGTTCAAGTAGTGCTTAATGTGTTCTTGTTCAAGATGATTGTGCCACCAGAAAATGCTGCATTCCCTCCTCAAGAAGCTATTGTTCAGACCTATTTTTCTGGATAACCAGTGGCTAGTTTTGATTCTTCTTTTCTAAAGAAGATTTGTTGAGAACTTGGTGAGGTTGCAAACTGCAGAAAGCGCTGGATGAAATGGATTGTGTATGAGGGTGAAGGTTCATTCTCCGAGCTTGTGGGCTGGTTTCTGAATGTTTCACTATAAGGCTAGGTCACATCTTCAGCAAAGGTTAGAGGATTATGAATTGTGTACACCCTTTCGGTAGAGGCTATGTTCTAGCATGGGATGGAAAATACACGGGTCACTCTTGTACTTGATTTTGGTGGGGCCATGATATTCCTTTTTGTATTCAGGGGCTTCTTGTATTCACATGGCCCTGTGTGCTCTACATAAGACTGCCTTTGAAGATGATTCAGCTAGTCCACTGAGTTATGCACACATTCATTTTTGTAATATTACAGGAGTTGCATTGGTTGATGATTAGCTTTGGGTACAATTCAAACTGCTGATTATCATTTTTAAAGGCCTACGTGGCCTAATATCTCTGAGAGCACCTCAGAGATGAGTTGAAGCTGTTTATCTAGTGAGAATGTTTGCTGAGGGTCCCAGCACTGAAGGAATGTCTGAACTGCTGTATTCCTATGGAGTTTTTGAGCCTGAAGAGTGGTCCTTCAGAGGAGCATTTGGGGATAACATGAAAAGACACAGTACCCCTGAGATGCTCTGAGCTAGATGTTGTTACATCTTACATCTTACATCTCATTTCTTACTGCTATAATTCTGCTCTTTCTCTCTGTCTCTCTGTGTATGTTTGTATGTGTACAGAGTCATTTAGAGTCTTTGAATTGGAATAGCATATAAATCAGGGTAATATAATGCAATCTGCTGGCTCCAGTTATGATTTAACTACTCTTAGGTAAGTCAAATAGCAGGAGGGGGACACAGAATGAAGAGAAAGGAAGATAGCTCAG